CCACTCTGACAGAAATATACCACAAATGGGATGGCTTGAACAAACAGGAGTTTATTCTCTTACAGTTTGGAGGCTTTAAGTCCGAGTTCAAAGTGTCAGGCTCTAGGGGCTGGGTGAAAGCCCATCAGCCTTGGGCTTCAGCTCTGCCTCCAGCTCCCAGCCCACTGAAGCTAGAGGCGTTTCTTCACTCAGGCAGCTGATGGATGCTGAGGCTGAGAAGCCTAAGGTTGACAAATAAAAAGGCACAGTCCCAATGTCACCAAACCACATGGCAGACCATTAATTCAAGTCCATTGTAAGTCCCAAGATCGGCAGAGTATGACAGGCTGCTGAACAATGATGCAGCCACATGCAGGGCTCAAGCATGCCATGAGCGAGAGATCATTCTCAAAGTTATGGACGGGAAGCAGACCACATACTCAAAGGCAGCTACTCAGTTGCTCACAGTAGATTCCACCATGGAGTTGATTACCAGTCTCATCATGGGGAATACTACATCCAGCTGCCCAGACACTCAACCAGACCTAGCCAAGTTGACACACAAACTTAACCACCACAGATGGTGAGGGTTGGAGGCCATCTTTGCAGACAGATCAACATCCCATGATGGTTATTCTCTGGCAGGGCTTCCTGTAAGAATCTGAGACTCTCTCTTCCTGGTTTTCTCTCAGCCACTGAGAGGTAAGCTGTAAGTGCTGGGAAGTAGTGTCCCTGGGAGGAGCCCTCATAGAGTGGCAGAATTTGGAGGATAAATATTCCAGCCTTCTTGTCCCAGGAAAGATAACACTGAGGTGTTTTCTACCCAGTGTTTGAGACTTCCCCAACAAGATTGAGGCCTAGTTGCACACCTTACGTGCTTGTTATCATATTGCTTCTTTCCCTTCCTATTCTCACTTCTCTACACCCTTATGTTTTCAAGGGTCACCTTTAAATACAGTACTTGCCCTTAAACGTTTGCCTCAAGACTGACTTCTGAAGGAAAGAATCTAAGAGAGGGGCTCAGGTTACACTGTACAAGGAAGCTGGGAGTCAACTCAGGGCTTGCCCGGGTGACATCAGACAGCAGCTGCACCTATATCCCTAGTCTTGCCAGCTGCCTAGGGAGGACAGGTGCAAGTACACACTGCCTGGGCTCTGCCCAACCTTGTCTCTCTCCTCTCTGTACTTGTAGAGCTCTGGGGACACAGTAGAGCAGTCTTCTCATATACCTCTGCCCCACCTCAGGATGTGGCTGTCTATGTTGTTACTTGCAGAATCTACAGACCTCACTTCTATCCCCATCTTGGCCCTTCCACTTCAAAGCACAGTGTTGTGAGGCTGTGATTTCAAGGTTGCTTCCAGGCTGGAGCTCAGGTGGCTTAGTAAGTAAAGTAAGCAGTTCAAACCCACCAGCTGCTTCATGGGAGGAAGATGATGCAAACTACTTCCATAAAGATTTACAGCCTTGGAAACCTAATGGAGATCATTATGAGTCAGAATCTACTTGATGACAGTAATTTCATGGTTGGTGTGGAAAGGGCAGTCATCTCTTAGCTCTGATAGCACC